TAGTTCATCCAAGTAGAAACAATATTTTTCTAGAGAGTTTTGGGAGGACCAGCACTTCTGAAAAATCAGTATCAGGAATAGCCTTGGGTCCAGGGAGGCAAATATGATATATCCAGCACTGGGATGGCAGAGCAGGGGAGGGGCTCTGTCCCTCCTCAGGAGCTCTGTGTCCCCAAGGCAGGGTTTCAGCCTTCTGCTTACTCCTCCTTCTCCTCCTCTTCCTCCCCCAGCTCATGAGGGTGTGACATGTGACCTGCTGGGCAAGATCTACCTCAACGGGGAGAGCTTCCAGCCCACGTGCAAGCTGCAGTGCATCTGCATGGACGGGGCCATCGGCTGCATCCCACTCTGCTCCGATGACCTGCGCCTGCCGTCCCCGGAGTGCCCCAACCCCCGGAGGGTGAAGTTCCACAACAAGTGCTGTGAGGAGTGGGTCTGTGAGGAGGGCAGCGAGGATAACCGCTTTGGAACAGCCATGGCAGGTCAGTGGGGAACATGGGATGGGGGCAGGAGCTGTTTGCTGGGGAAGAGGGCTGGATCTGGAGCACTGGCTGGTTTGGGGCTGGTGGTGGCTTTATGCATCATCATGATTGGGTGAATACCAAGTGTTGGGTTCCAGAGCTAAACACTAGGTCTAACCTACTCAGCTGCTCTATCACTCTCCTTCCCAGCTGGACAAAGGGGAGAAAATAAATGGAAAGTGACTTGTAGGTTGAGATAAGGCAGTTTACTAAAGCAAAAGTGAAAGTTTGCATGTGCACAAGCAAAGAGAAAAAAATAGATTTATTCCTTACTTCCCATCATCAAGTGGTGTCCAGCCACTTCCCGGGCAGCAGGGCTTCAGCACGTGGAGCAGTTGCCTGGAATATCCCTGTGGTGAATTTGGGTCAGCTGTCTTGACTGTGTCCACTCCCAGGAACTTGCCCACTCCCAGCCCCTTGATTGCGGGGAGAATGTTGGAGAAGTATCACTGATGCGGTGCCAACCCTGCCCAGCAGTAGCCAAAAACACTGGTGTGTTACCAACACCTCTCCAGCTCCCACTGCAGAGCACAGTGCTGGAGTGGTGCTCTGGGAACATCAGCTCCAGCTCAGCCAGACCCAATACAAAGTGAAACCTCAGTGGTGCTATGGGAAAGCTCCTGTGTCCTGAAGTGTCACAGCAGACCTGTCTGAAGCTGGGCTATGTAGGAAATGGCCCCTGCCCACCTGCATCCCCTTCCTGCTGAGAGGCCAAGCATCTCATGGGATGGGCCAGACCTTTGCTGATGATCCTGAAGTGTTAAACTGAGTTGGGAGCAGCCACGGAGCTACCACTCTTCGTCCAAAGCCCTGAGCCTTGCTTTGTGTCTCTTCTTCATGGCTCAGTTTTCAGGGAGGATCCAGCTCACAAGCCGGAGCTGAACAACCTGCAGGAGAACTGCCTGGTGCAGACCACAGAGTGGAGCATGTGCTCCCGGAGCTGCGGAATGGGCATCTCCACCCGTGTGACCAACAACAACCCCCAGTGCCGCCTGGAGAAGGAGACCCGGCTCTGCATGGTCCGGCCCTGCAACTTCTCCATGGAAAAAACCAAGGTACGGTGAGGTACGGTGCTGGAAGAGAGGGGACACAGCACCCCAAATGCTGGGGACAGCCTTGGGAATGATCCTGGCTCACAGGGTTTGCTCTGTGCTTCAATTTCCTCTGTGTCCCATTGCCCAGCGATGGGGTCAGAGCACAGGCCTCAGTGCATCTTTCCTGTCATGTCCATGGTAATTCATCTGCTCTCTCCCTAGAAGGGGAAGAAGTGTGTGCAGACCCCAAAGCAGCGCCAGAGCCTCCATTTCGAGTTTTCGGGATGCACCAGCACCCGCTCCTACCGGCCCCGGTTCTGTGGCAGCTGCTCGGACGGGCGCTGCTGCACCCCGTTCCTGACCAGCACCATGGACGTGGAGTTCCGCTGCCCCGAGGGGGACTTCTTCCAGAGGAAGATGATGTTCATCAAGATGTGCTCCTGCCACTACGACTGCCCCCGAGACAATGACATCTTCCTGGCCACGTATCACCGTTGGATGATTGGAGACCACATCAAGATTGAGCAGCAATAACCTTGTATTGCCAGATCTGAGGAGTGCAGGAGGACTCTGCAGTGCTTTGTGGCTGCGTCCTGGCCAATGCAGCCTCTTCCCTTTCTGTGAGGGGCTGTGCCTTCCACAGCAGCACCGTTCACACCAGTGGTCCCTGTGGTTTTCCCAACGAGCTGAGGGAGGAGCCCCAGCTGCCCCAGCCCCCTGACTCCCACCCACAGTGGTACAAAGGAACCAGAAACAGGCTTGAGCTGCAAACTTGTCCGTATTCCCGCTGGCCAGAAGGGAGAGTGGATCAAAGTCATATGGCTCTCACCTGTCTCCAGCCCAGAGCACAATTCCTGATTCAGATTCTGAGAATACTTCCAGCATTAACTGGGGGTGGACCAGTCTGCCAGACCTGTGTCCCCTGAAGGTGCTGCTCTGGGCAGCTTTTAGTGCCTTGATGAGCATTTCATAGAACCATGGAGTGGTTTGGGTTGAAAAGCACTTTAAAGCTCATCTCATTTCAACCTCCTGCCACGGACAGGGACACCTTCCACTAACCCAGGCTGCCTCAAGCCCCGTACAATCTGGCCTTGGACACTTCAGGGATGGGGCAGCCACAGCTTTTCTGGGCAATCTGTGCCAGGGCTTCACCAGCATCACAGGAAGGAATTTCTTCCTAATCTTGTCAGAAATGACTCTGGGGTGAGAGAGGGACTGAACCCCACAAGCTCACACATGCACAGTGAGGCTGCAATTGTTTCAGCTCTGGAGCCTTTGATCTGGATGTTTGTAAGTAGGAGGAACACTGTTCAGCTCCAGTCTCCCTGGAGATTTTAAGGTACTGGCAAGAGAAATTCTCCTATTTGTAAATGGAGCAGATCCCATCTGGAGTTACTGGGGCAATGCCATGGGGAGCTCTTGGACAGGTGTCTCCAGCAGTGGGATTTCCTCCTGGCCACAGACCTGGGAGAGTCTCTCTGCCAGGAGAGGACCCCATTGCCAGCCCACAGCTCCAGGAAAGACCACCAGCAGCCAATGCCAGTGGTATGTCCAGCAGCACATTGGCAGCTTTGTGGGACTGCTAAGGTCGTCAGGTGTGGAAAAATCTTCTGATTTTTAGCAGAAACATCCAGGTACAGGACCTGATGCTGGTTCTTAAGTCATCCTTGCCTATCACCATTGGAAGTCATGAAGAATTTCTGTTCCAGCCAGGAAGGAGCAGTAGCCCCAAGGCTTCACTTCACCATATCTTCCTACTACAAATTAGAGCCTGATGCCAAGGGACATTCCCAGCTGTCCCCAACTGCTGCCCTGAATTTCCAGACTGCTGACACACCAGTTCCATCCCAGCCTCTGTTCTTTCTCTCGGCCTGCAGCAGCTCATGAGTCTACACCCTACTGTAATCAATTTGTACTGTAAATAATTTATCTGATGTTGTTTCTAAGGCCCTTGTACAGTTCCAGAATCCTATTGGTACAGCCCTGCTCAGGCTGTTACCCCTCTCTGAGCATCTCTCCTGCCATTCATACAGTTGCTGAGTCTCAAACCATCCTGAGGTTGCACTTTACTCAATGCTAATAAATATCTCTATTTTTTATATCTCTGAACTCATCCCTTTGTGTGAGGCTCCTGCCTGGTTCCTCTGCTGACCTTTCCCCAGTGCTGGGACCTTCTGGAGAGTTGATGGCTGGGTGCTGGAGGGGAGGGAGTGACAGGGAGCTCTTTTCCTGTTCCCAAATAGCAGCAGGATTGATGTTCGTGTTTCACAGACACCTCTGCAGCCCTCAGAACACAGCTCCTCCCTCCACAGCTTGGAGGGGGGACAAGCAGAGCCCCCCTCTGCCTGCTGAAGGACCCACAAGTCCTTAATACCAGATTAAAAATAACCCTGGGAGCAGATGTGGACAGAAGTCGGTGATAACAGGGCCAGAACGCGAGGGGCTTTGCAGTGGCTTAACAGCTTATGGATTCATCCCCCTCTCATCACATTAGCAGGGGCTCCCCCCTCTCCCGCTCCGAAGGGCCTAGAGGTTCTTCCTGCTCCCAAACCTTCAGCCTCACCGAGGAAGGCTTAGGGCTTCCAGGGAGGGGCGCATGAGGGGGAACAAACAAACCCGTCATGCTTGGGCTGCGTGGTGCTGAGGTTCTGAGCTCGGGGCAGGATCCGGCCCGTGCACCTCCGGGGACTGCAAAGGCCCGGGAGAGGCAGCGGGGGACACACATTGGCGGTCCTCGCCGGTGTACCCAGGGCGGTGACCATTAGATGGCACTAGGAAGCACCCCATGGGGACACCCCGTCCCCAGGGCAGGGTACAGGGGCGTGCGGGGCTCCTGGGCGGACTCCGAGCGTGACCCCGGGCAGCACCCGCCAGGAGTGTCCGCTGGGTACTCCAGCCCAGTCCCGGCACCCAGTGCCACCGCAAGGCCACCGCCACCAAGCCAACGGAGACGGCAGCGAAGGTCTCGGTGCCGGGGCTGAGCTCCATCCTGCCGCCACCTCCATCCCCGTCCTCGCGGGGGCCCTCTTCCGCCTTATCTCCGCAGCCGCCGCCTGCGCGGCACCGATAACCCGGGCGTGGCCCAGGGATGGGGTCGGGTTTGGGGGCACTTCAGTGACCCTGACGCCCTCACCGGCTCCGGCCACGCCGCAGCCTCCTGGGGTGGGCTGAGGATGGGGACGCCCTCGGCTCCTCCAGCCCCCAGCAAGGACGGGGTTTTCCCTAAGAAAACTTCGGAAGATATGAAAATAAGGAAAAATATCAACAAAAGTCCTGATTCTGCCGGTTTTGGGGGGCTTTGGAGCTCTGCCACGGCGCGGGGGGAACCCGTGGGGCCACCTTCTCCTAATTTGGGCCTATGACGTCACGGGAGCAATGGCAGGAATCTCCTGGCCCCACCCCTCGCTCGTCACCTGCGGGCCCCGCCCACTGCAGCGGCGCGCGTTGGCCCCGCCCCCTCCGCGCTCTGACGGGCGGGGGCGGCAGCCAGTGGGCGCGGCCAATGGGGGCGGGGCTCGTGTGGTGACGTCAAGGGGTGGGGGCGGGGCCGGTGGTGCAGGTGGAGGCAGCGCGGAGCGGAGTGGCGGCCCCGGTGAGCGGGGGCAGGTGAACTTCTTCGGGTGTCAGGCCTGTTATGGGGCGAGAGAGGCTTTGAGGGGAGGGTGACGGCTGTAGGGGTCAGGCAGGTTATGGGGTTCGGGGGTGCTGTGGGGGTCCTGGGGTGCTTTGGGGAGTATGGGGGTCAGGCAGGTTCTGGAGGATTTGGGGCTCCCTAGAGGGACCCATGGTGGATCAGTGTGGTCATGGGCTCGCGGGGTTATAGGAAGAGTTGTGGTGCTGTGGGAGCGCATGGGAGCTCAGGCTGTTTATGGAGTGATGGGCTTGCCAGGGGACATGGGGTACTATGAAGCAGGGGGTCTCCGGTGGGGTCAGGCCGGATGTGGGGTGATCTGGGGCTGCGGGAAGCAGGGGCACCCGTAGAGGTCAAGCTGGATGTGAGGTGGTTTAGGGTGCTCAAGGGTTTGGGGGGGCTGGGGATGTCAGTCTAGGTGTGGGGGAACCCACAGTGACTGAGGTATGAAGCAGGGGTTATGGAGAAATGGGGGATGTTCAGGGGCTGGGGGAGACTAGGGAAGTACCTGCAGCGCTGTCAGGAAGCCTATGGGGCAGAAGGGAAGTGAGGTGCTCTGGAGTGGGGAGATCCCCAGTAGGGTCAGGCTGTGTGTGTGGGGAATGGGGTGCACTAGGGTTGTCCTAGAGACTGAGCTGGGGCTGCAGGGGAGGATGTGGGGTGGAGGGCCACCCACAGTGGATTCAGGAGGTGGATGGGGCCCTGCCTCACGGGGAGTGGCCAGCCCTGGGATGTTTCCCCCCATACTGTTGTTTCCTCTGGTGCAGTGGAGAGGAACTGACAGGTGCAGCCTCGGGGAGTAGGGTCCCTCCTGCGCCCCACAGTCACGGCAGCAGCACTGGTGACCCTTCCTGGGAGGTGGCAGCTCCCGCTTTGGCATTTGGGTCCAGCTCTGGTTCTTGGAGCATTCGGTGTTGCTGGGGCTGTGCCAGAGATGCAGCAGCTCAGCCTGTGGCTTCGGGGCGGCCGCGGTCTCTTCCCGAGACACCGTCTGTGCCCGCCGGGACGGTTCCCAAAGCAGGCGGCAGTGGCAGAGCTGCGGGCCGGCGGGGGCTGCTCCTGCCGTCGATCCCTGGCCCGGCCCGGCCGGGGCCGCGCTGAAACCTCCTATCGACTTCCCCGCGCCGTGGGGGGGTCGATGTCTTCACGTCCCCTCGTCGACGGGGACACTTTGCGCTGATTTTGCAACCACAGGCGAGTGCGACGTGCCCGGCGGTTCCTGCAATCTCTTCCTCTCCTGAATTTCGCCCTCCTGCAGTCGTGGTGGGACGAGAGGCTGGTGAACCTGTTCTGGTGAATCTGCTCGTTAGTCCGTGCCATTGGCTGTGCCGGTGGCGGGTCCGAGCGGCTGGTGGGATGGCAGGGGACAGCGGGGGACAGTGACTATCTTTAGGGCTGTGTTGCAATGGAGGGGTGTGCCTTGGCTCGGCGCTGCCGGCAGCCGCCTCCTCGCCCGAGGATTGACTTACGCCGCGGCTCCCACATGGGGAAAACCAGCATTTGCTCTGCAGTTTGTGTGAGCAGGAGGGGCTGCGGTGGGGCTGTGAGGCTGAGCCAGGGGTCGGGCAGTATGGGGGCTGGTGTCAGTCACACATGCCCTGCATGAGGTCAGGCTGTGCGAGGTGTGTAGGGCCCAGGTTTGGGGTGCACCATCGGCCCCCGGCACTGTCATGTGTCACACATGCTCTGCCACTGCCTGGCAGTGGGAACAGCTGAGCTGGAGCAAATGGCCAGCATGGGAAAGGTTGATGGTGCAGGGAATCTCTGCTGCCTCCTAGGAGAGAAGTTGCCCTGGAGCTTGGGAGCAAGTTGGGTTCTTGCAAGGTGCATCCCTGTGCTCTCTTCCTGAGGTTTAGTGGAAGCACAGATGCAGCTATAGGAGAGAGCCAGAGTCACGTCTCTTTTGAGTCCTGTTTCTGCCAGAGTAACCTGGTTAGTCCGTGGGAGTAACTTGCACCAAAGTTGGGGTGACATAGAACCGAGGCTCTCTTGCCTCTGAGCCATTGCCCTGCTCATGGCCGCTGTGCCTGTGGTGGTGCAGCTGCACCATGCCTGTCTCTGAGAAGAGGCAGCTGAATTTGCCCCCCACGAGTACAGTTCCTCTCCCAGTTCCGGGGCCTATGTAGACATGGGTCTCCTCCAGTTCATGGTGCTGGCAGCCCCTCAGTTTCTCTAACAAAGTGGGGCACGTGCTGCTTCTGCCTGTGATGATAATGGCAAATCAGCAGAAGCAAAAAGTTGATCTGTGCATGAAACTGCTTCTCATGATTGTGCTCAACATGTTCTGTGGATGTGGGCCTCTCCTGTCCCTTCATTTCGCTTTTCCTCACGCTTAGGAGCAACTTCAGGCCTTTCTGAGAGGGCTTGAAACCTGCTGAGGAGAGAAAGTGCCTTCTCATCTGCAGCGGTGCTGCTGGGATGAGGCTCCCTCTTCCTGATGCGCAGCCTGGCAGCTGCTGGAATTGCCTGCAGCCGCATTGCTCCACACCGCAGGTCCCTCAGGCTGGCACGGTCCTTTTGGAGCCAATAGTGGGGAAAGGATTTCACAGAGAAAAGGCAAAACATCAGCTGTTTTCCGAGGAGGGCACTTTGGAGTTATGCCACTGATTTATTATATAGCAAGATTTTTCCTGAGCTCCCTCCCCAGCTGTTCCCCAGAGGGGAAGGCAGGCTGCAGGTGGTCCCTGTCCCAGAGCGCAGGAATTGTCCTGTCTCTGCTAAGCACTGTTTCACCTTTGTGTTCACAGCTGCAGGAAGAGGCTTGAGGCTGTGGTGGCTGGAGGTTTAGGGTCATAATTGGCTCTTGGCCACGCTGGATACTGTGGTTGAAGGTGTGATTTGGGAAGGGGGCGGACTTACCCATCATTAGCCCAGAGGTGTTTCACTGAGCTGCCCAGGAAGGAGGGGAATGTCTTGGTTGTCCTTTTTATGAGTTTTGCTTCATGCAGTGATTTATGTGAGCTCTGAGCTGGGATTTCCCAGGAGGGGCTGCAGTTGCTTGTCCCTGTTTAGCGTGGGACCAGCACCTGAGGGATGAGCAGTCTCACGCAGCGGTTATCCCAATGAGGCCATGATGGTTCGGGTCCCTCATACCATGATATTGGGACTTTGTCATGCCATCCCTTTCTCAACTGGTGGGAACAGCGAGGGTGGGCTGGCTGGGGCTCTGGGGTCTGGCCAAAGCAGCCACCACGGCTGCCCGTCTCTCCCCACTAGAGGCTGCTGATGACCAGAGCATTTTCCATCCCTGCTCTGAGAAAGCACTGGGGTCTGGAATTTGCAGGGCTGAGCATCCCGGCCTGAGCTTTTCCTGCTGATTCACTCTGGAGACAGCAGTATGCTTTCCTTGGCAATGGTCGGGTTCAGGGGGCACATCTGCTCCCCTGCCAGGCTCACAATTGATCTCCCTACTTCATTAAGTCTTAATTAGGTAAATGCACCGGGACCATGTGCGAGGCCATTTCCAGGGGACATGGGTCTTTCGTGGAGTCGGGTACCCATCCTGCCTGCCTCAGGGGTTTTTCCAGCTGGGTGCTGAATGTGGAATGAGTTCAGGCTCTTGTATTGTTTTCCCAGAGGATGTGTGCACAGCGATAAGAGCTTCAGCCCTCTGGCATGAATCAGTTGGCAGAAAAGCCAAGGATTAGTTAAATCATGGAAAGGATCCTTCACCTCTGGGCACAGGCATGGTAAAGCCGCCCTGTAGACACAAAGGAGACTCAGTCCATGCCACCAAACACCTGGGCAGGATGGGTTGGAAAACCGAGACCCTGGGAAGATGGTTAATCACAAAACAATGAGGTGTAAAATGAAAGGCAGTGGCTGCTGCAGTGGAAGTGCCTGGGAAGGAGTCTGTGGAGTTGCACAAGCCCTGCTGCCCTTGTTGGTGCAGGCAGTGCTGGGTGGGCAGTGTGGTGCCAGCTGGCTCTGACACAGGGCATGGCTTCCCTCACAATGGCAGAGCAGCGCTTTACATAATCTGGGACTTGCCAAACAAGCTTGAAGGTCTGGAAAATCCTCCTGCTATTGTTCATGCTCAAAGTTTGCTAAATTTCCTGGTTTGATCTGCAGGGCTGGATTTTGTTTTGGGACCGCAGTGGGGGAAAATGCTCTTTGCACAGAGGGAAGAAAAGGGTGTTTGTGGTGTTTAATCCATTCTCTGTAGATGAAACTATTTTTGTGGTTTACAAGAGGTTCTGAACAGCTGCTTGCAGCTTTGTAGGGCTGCAGGACTCTCTGTCTATCCAATTAGTATGGTTTGTGTCTAGTCCCCTCCTGAGTCCCGCCCTGAGAAAAGCCTGGACTACCAGATGAGGATGGGGTGCCGTGGGCAGGGCTCACACAACCACCATCTGGGCTCCTGGCTCGTAGCAGCCTGTGTCGCGACACAAATGTCGCGTCAGAACAGCTTTTTGCTGTCTCAACCCCCGTAAGTCAGACTCTGAGGCTCCGGGAAGGCTCCAAAACTGCCGCTCATTGGCAGATTTTAGGAGAAGAGGCTTGATGGGAACTTGGGGTGTCTTGCTGTGCTGTGTCAACCCTGGTGGTGACTTTGTGGTGATTTGGGGCAGCTGGGAACCCCTCTGGGAGGATGCTGAGGCTGTGTGAGCCACCCCAGGCCCATGCCGGCCTGTAAAGCTGCGGGCTTGACCTGGATGTGTTTTGGGGCATGGGGCCTGCCCTTGCTCCTCCATTTGCTCACCCCAAAGCCCTTTGCCAAGACAAATAAAGCTGTCGTGTGCTATTCGGTTAAATGAAGAAATCCTGTTAAAATGTTTTCTGCTCGTTTGTGGATAAATGACTGAGAAACCTGACTTTTCCTTCCATTCCTGGGAAAGGCAGGTTTTGTAACAAGGAATGGGGTGAAGTTCTTGCTGGTCCACTTACTGTGAGGCAAGTTTTTGAGCCCTGGAAAGCAGCAGAGGAGGAGGAACCTCAGCCTAATGGCATGAATACATCCT